AGCCATTCTTTTAGAAGGATAGTCTTATATGGCCTGAAAATTAATCACCAGTTGTTTCCTTCTAAAAGGGATGATAGTAAAGCTGATTCTTGAACGGGGTCCTCTGTCATCCCTAATGCTCTAATCAAATAACCCTAGCCACCTTCACCTCATGTTTGGCAGAAGATTAACTGGAGGGACTGAAGCTTGACACAGATTTCCTGGGTGTTTGATCTTCACAGATAGACTTGTTTCTTTGGCGGATACTGCTTTAATAGCTGCTCACAAACATAATGCACAACTTTGACCTAAATGTTAGCCTTGCCTTTCCCTCAAGAAGACCACCACTTAACAAGAGATTTGTTTATCTGATCATTATAAACTCTGAGAGGGTGCAAAAGATACTGTTTCCTGCCTAGATCTGCCACCTCCGTCCCTTCTGTAGGTTCCATGTACCCACCCCTAGCTTCTACATACTTTATTCCCAACAGCTTATACCTGCAGCCTTCTGTGGAGATTCTCCTTGGTCTCTTGGAGCTGCCATATGAGTATGGAGAGCTAAAATGCCTGGGAAGTTACACCCCACCAGGACAGCCCCTAGCCAATGACAGGTGCAGGATTATGAAAGGAAAGCTCCCTTGAGTCAAGGCAGAATATATTGTGATGTAGGGTTATGCTCTAGAGCGCCCCAAGAGATTATGCTGATATTGGGTCTCCCCTGAAATGGAGCCTTTATTTGGCTTCTTCCTCGTCCCTGGCCTGATCCCACCACTCCTTTGCCATTCTCTCCTGGGACCCTTCCCTAAAACTCATTTGATACAACCCACTTCTCAGGGTCTGCTTCTGGGGAACCCAGACTAAGACAGAGCGCTGGTCTAAGAGCTGTTCAGTCACCAGGAGGAGAGGGAGAGCAATAAGAAGAAAGCTAATATTTACAGACTGTTGACTCTTTCCAGACCCTGAACTAGGCACTTCACATGTATTATCTCATGGGATCTTACCCAAGGGTGGTTAATATATCTATCATATCAATCTGGACATTTTACAAGAATCTTGAAAGCTAAGGTGGAGAAACACCAGGAAGTCTACACAAGTGATCTTCTGTCCTACAGTCACCACTTCTGTTCTAAGAAAGTCATTTTCCCATTCTGCCCTCTTGCTTTCAAGAGTAATAATAATGAATATTTATTGAGCATTTACTACAATGTGCCAACCTACTCGTGTGTGTGTTTGTGTGTGTGTGTGTGTGTGTGTGTGTTATATTAAATTGCCTAAGGCCATACATCCTTTAAGTAGTGGAGCTGTAATAGGAATCCCAGTCTGGCCAATTCCTGAATCCATGCTTTCATTTACTGTGCCGTGTGACTACAAACCAATGAAAAAGGAACATTCACTAAACACCTAATTTAACATGGTTTTCTAAGGTTCCTTATGCAAAGGCACCACCAATTCTATGCGGACAGGTCTCCTAGAAGAAATGTTATGTTGAAAGGATGAGTTAACGAATATATCACGTTAAGCCTTCAAAAAAATTAAAAGAGATGGTTCCTAGAAAAACCAGAAACAACCTGAAAATCAGATTACATGATGTACATGATCAAGGGCCAAGAAATGAGAAACTCTTGTATCTTAGTCCATGAACCCTTTATGAAACATGATACTTTCCTGTGCCTCAGTTGACTCACCTACTAAATGGTTATCCTTCTTTAGCACAATGGGGCAAGGATGCTGAGAACTGGAGTATGATGTTGTAGAATGCTGAAGGCATAGGAAGGGTACCCTTCTTGGAAAAAAACATGAGATGCTCTTCAGGAAATGTACAACTTACACACATTATCAGCCAACCGAGTTAGAGAACTTGGTTTTGATACATGGATTACGTAGCCACATAGTCCTCCTTCCTGGAAAAACCACAACACAATGCCCAGGAAATAGAGATTAAAATCAGTCAGTACAGAAGGACTTCAAGAATGTGAGAATAGCTGTAAAGTGTGGGGAGATTTGGTTCAGCTTAAATATTCAGAGCAAGCAGGCCACTATCTCAGAAAGAAATACCCCCCCCAAACCACCAGCTGTTGGCAAACTAAAAGGTGAATATATAAAAGATATTCTCAGCAGAAAATACACATACACATACACACACACAGCACTCATAAGAAATTGGTATTAGAGCTCTATGGGATGAGTTAAACTAGTAAGTATTGTTTTCTTTTGTTCCCACACTGAATGGGATAGCTGCAATTATTCATCACCCTGTATCTTTGCCTCTCTGCCATGTGACTTGGCAGAGAGGCAAAGAAACCGTGGACGTGGCTGAATCTGGGTTAGCCTTGTGACTTGCTTTGACTTACAGAAGGTGGTAGAAGCCATGGTGTGCCAGTTCTAAGTGTAGGCCTCCAGAATTCTTATGTTTTCACTTTCCTTCTTGAAACCAAACCACTACTATTTGCATGAGCTTGGGAAGCCTGCTGGAAAATGAGAACTTCATGGTCCAATTGCCTCCAATATCCTAGTTTAAAGTCCATTGATCTCCAAAGCAGCTTTGCCCAACTGACCAAGCACCTAACCACAGATGCCTGAGTGAGCCCAGATGAAACCAGAAGAACTACCTAGCTGAGCCCAGCCCAGATTGCTGACTCACAGAATCATGATTTACATACATGGTTATTGGTTTAAGCCACAAATTAGAATGGTTTCTTACACATAAATAGTTATCTGACACACATCCTTTCTTTTGTTTTTAGATTTTAATATTGCTCATGATTTACAATGTAATTACCTAATTTTCTTGAGAAGCCATTATAATTTATATTATCCATGTTACTGACGTATAAAATAAAGTATCCAGTGAACATATTTGAGAGACAATATTGCATGAAAGATAAACATCACAGGCTCTCAAGTGGGCTATGCAGGATTTGAATCTCTGCTCTCCTGCTGACTTTGTGTAAGCTACCTCAATTTTTCTCATTTGAAAAATGGAAAAAATAATTCATAGGATCTCACTTGGTGAGAATTAAATGAAAATGCCAAAAATTCTTAGAACAGTGTCTGCCATACAGTAAATCTGTGATGTTTAACAATGCCAAAAATCTTCCCATCATAACAAACATATATACTCTTATACACCTTCTTTTTGATAATGGGAGGGGGAGGTATAAATTTATCCCCCTTTGATGGATGAAAAGACCTGGGCTCAGACAATTTAAATGACATAACCCTGGTTGATGTTTCTGAGTCTAAAACTCTCTCACTGAAGGTCACTAAAAGACCACGCCCAACCAAAACTCACACACAAAGGTTTGGTTGAAGAAATTATGGTATATCAACACCATGGACTATGGACTAGGCCACCATGAAGTAAGACTTGACTTGCAGGGATTTCCATGGAATTTTGTTGCGAGGATAAAAGCAAGATGCCGGGAAATGTGTATGATATACCATTTTTGTAGCACAAAGACAAATCTGCACTTATCTATGGGTGTGTGTGTGTGTGTGTGTGTGTGTGTGTATCCATACACATACCTCTCTAGGTATATATAATAATCATGCCTTATTATATGAGTTTAAAGAAAATTATGTAGGGCACACAATGGGTTGTCAATAAGAGGGGAAGCAAAATAAGTAGAAGAAACTGAAAAATCATCCTTCAAAAAAATCTGCCATAAAAAAACCCATAAGCATTCATATGATCTTATTTATAGGAATGGTTATATATACAGATATAAAAATTTTTTTAGAAAAAAGTGCTTAAAATTGAATTCTCTTTTTCAACTTAACTGATATAATGTGGTATAAAAGATAAAAATATGATTACTTGTTCCACAGGCCAAAAAAAATAGGACCTCTGCTAAGCCACATCATTTTAATACCTTCACAGTAGAACAAATTTACCTCTTTGCAATAAATACAGGCAAGTTAGAGCCCCTTTGTATTTTTCTCAATACTTAAATTGCATCCTCTCCTCCCCAGCTTGGCCCAGGATCAACTTTTTGCATTAGACTTAACCTCTCTCTTCTCTGAGGAATCAGAAAGAACAAAAGTAATCTGTTGTGAATCATTTTGAGGCATAAAATGCATATGCGTACGTATACTGAAGTATAATGTACACACAGTTAAGTACTCTAACCTCAAGTGCACAACTGAGTGAATGTTTACATCCATCGCCGCTCATTTGGACCAAAATCTAGAACACTTCCATAGGACCCCAAAATTCTCAGGTGCCACTTTCCAACATTACCCTCGGCAGGAAAGTGGTTTACTACTCTGACCTCTATCACCATCGATCACTTTTCTTGAATTTCATACAAGAGGAACCACATTTATCTGTTGTGTATGGCTTCTTTCATTCAACATGACACTTAGGAGATTTCATCCACATTGCAGCATGTATAAAGAGGTCATTCTTGTAATGTGTTTATCCATCCTCTTGCTGGTAGACTATTGGGATGTTTTCAGTTTGGGACAATTACAAATAAAAATACTCTGAACATTCCCCTGTCTTCTGAAGAGCATATATGCTCATTTCTCTTAGACTCATACGGTAGCATGCGTGTTGCTTTAATTAATACTAATAAACAGTTTTCCAAAGTGGTGGCAACCAATTCACACTCCCACCAGCAATAATGAGAGTTCTAGTTATGCACATCTTTGCCAAAACTTATATTGTCAGTTTTCCCAATTTTCATCATTCTGGTGGGCATGCAGCACAGTATTTATCATTATAAGTTTGTTATATTAATTTCACCATAAAAATTCTCTGATACAAAGCAGTAGAAATCTGATCACAGTTAGTAGAAACCAGTTCTTTTGGTTCTTCAAAAATTAGGCAACTACAGCATTTGCCACATTTAATTTTGAGGTAAAGCATAAAAATAATGAGGAAATCAAAATTATAGCATACAAATACATTATTAACAATACATACTTTGGGGATATTAGATACCATTTGTTTTCAATTCTAAGAGAACAGCTAAAAATAATTATTATAAGCTTTTAGTATTTGATCTTATTACAGGTTTTGGAGGGGACAGTTTTCTTGGTTTCTGATTCCACAGCCAAGTTACACAGCATTCGTATGGGCAATGCATATTCTTAATGAATAAAAGAGTGGTTTTTAGGAATTAAAGTGATTGTAAATCAGATCTGAAGTTAAATTAAGTAACCACTACAAAGCATATGGCTTGTCTCCTTAAAGGTTCTATTTATATCCTTTGGATGACAACCATTAGGCAGTACATAGTTCCCTTAGCCCGAGTTATAGAGGTCTAAAAATATATTTCCTGGCTTCCACCAGGAACTGGCAGAGTCTCAAAAAGGAGTTCGTGGCTTGGCCAAAACACAGCCATTCTTTCAGACCAGTGCTGTCTGCATTTGGGAACGGCTAGGTCCCATTAGTACAAGAGGAAGAAATATTTATGCCGCGTTTGAAAATTAACCTTTTCCCGTTTGCCTTTGTGGTCTAAGGCACACTTTGGGAATCACTGGCCATGAGCCAAGCACAGGCTCTAAAGCAGGTTAGCCTTGTCCACAGTAAACATTGGACTTGCTTCTAGAGTCTTCCCTACTGGAGGGAACTTAGGCATTATCACTATACTTCCACAAGATATTAAGTCATGATATTTTTCAGGTGTTTCGGTCTTGATTCACCACTTCAGGATCTGACCTATCCATCTGGAAGTTCAGGAAAATCCTGTCACAAACTCAGAGATGGCATGTCCCACAGTGAAAGAAATTTGGATGGTAAGCTATCAGCCACTGACTCCCCCATTTTCCTCCAAAGCTCACCCCCCGTCGCATCTCCCTAACTTTGAGCTCATATGGCTTCATGTCTTAGTCAACTCACTTTGCACACCTCACTTGTAGCCTTATGGTCAATATTTACATGCCACCATTGAATGGTTGAATCTGAGACATTTCCCCTAACAGATGTGTCATCTCTGTCATGACAATCAGATTCCTTCTCCCTCTCCTTTCTTTATCTCCCAAAGGCACACAATCTCATCCCTATCCCTGGGGCTGAAAGCTCCCATCTCTTTATGACCAATGATTCCTCCCTGTCCTTCTTTCTAAGTATTTCCTGTCTCCTCCCAAACCACCATTTCTCTTCCGAATCTCAAAGTCCAGTTATTTTGCCCTGTGTCACTATGCCATAGCTCACCTCTGGGCCTCGGTCTCCCCACCCTTTCAACTCACCCCACACCAACCCCTTCACCTTGCAACCCTTCTCCTCTCAATTAAAGCATCAAGTTCATGAGTTTCTACTGGGCCCTCGAGTACTCCATAGTTAGTCTGACCATATGGACCTCCCAAACACTCCTTGTGATTCCAATGCCAATCATTTCCTTCTTAGAGAAGCTGCCTAGGCCAAACGATCAAAAAAATCAAAAACCCTGCTCCCGGGCCAAGGTAAGTGAGCATTCAAAGTCATTCCCTTCATCACAGCTGATGGGTCCAGGGATGGACATCTGGCCCTTGGAATCTGGCATTGAGGCTCAGTGATGCTAATGCATCTCTGCTGTGGTAGGGTGGCCACACACTGGGCAAAGAAATCAAGCCATTTTGCAGACAAACAAAAATGTATGTAGCAGTAAAGTCAAGGGAACTAGGGAAGAGACACAAAGTTCTCTACAGACACATGGGGAGTCATCTGAGCTCCTGACTCCTAAGTTCTGGTTGCTGTTTTTCATGAGGTCCCAGTGAGTTTCTTGCCAAAGGCTTTATCCTCCAAAATTACACCTTCCCAAGCCAGTTGGACAGGGCTCTGTTCCTTGTAAATAAATCTGAATAAACTGCATTTGAGCACCATGCCTCTCTTCTTGTACAGAATCTCCTTCCCTCTTTAAACAATATCCCCCTCCCTTTTATATAATTCTTGGCCACCTTTTTGGAGTTAACTCAGGCTCTACTTCGTCCAAGAGGCTCTTTTTGCTCCAGCTTTCACTGATTTCTGCCAAGATGGGAGGCAGGGTGATGGAAAGAAAGAGGCTTGGGAGCCTCAGTACTAACTTGTTATATAACCCTCCCCTCTCTCAGCCCCCATTTCCTCATAGGAAAATCGAGTAAAATATAATTTACAACATGAATTTTGGTGATTCTACACCAGATAACATACATGAAAATGCCTAACCCAGTTCCTAGCCTCTGTTCAGCTGAATATTTTATCACATTCTTGTATTTTTTTTTATTTCTACAGAACTTTGTATTTCATTCATTTCTTGTATCCATTCATCACTGTATGTTTGTTATTCCTACATAAATTTGCTTCACTGTCAAGCTGATACTAGCTGGCTACGAAGATATAAACAGTTATCCAGAAATACATTGATGTGGGCCCAATTATCTTCAGATATGAGAGAGTTCAAGTGATGTGTTTTTCTAGTTCAAGAGGCAAACAGGACCCAAATGAAGTTAACTGAATGCCTAGCCTGGATAATGGACCTGTTTACAACCTGACCTGACCCCAGGCTATGGAAGGGCCCTTGGAGAGTGAACCTAAACTCCATTAAAATTACTTTTTCTAGAAAGTAAAGACTCCATTTTTCAAATAATACTTGTGGTTTTTTTTTTCTTCAATTTACTCTGCATATTTTCTTACATTTGGAAATACATCAAGTGAAGAAATAAAGATATATTCTGTTGATAAGTTCATGAAAATGAAATTTCCTAACCAGGAGAATTTCAATTATATTAGGAAACACCCGAACCATGAAAATTTTAGCAGATGTAAGAGTACAAGATCACACAACCTGGAAAAATAACTTAAAACAGACAAGTAAAGAATCTGTGTTTATAATCATTTCCCATAAGCCCTAAATCAAGAACTATACTTCTGTTATTCTTCAACCCATTGATTTAAATGACAAATTAGAACTGGTTTTGCAAAGGTGATAAAGGATAGGAAAAATTCAAGGCAAAGTTTCAAGTCAGCTAGTCTCATATATATTCATTTCTTCTCTAAATTTGGAGAAAATTTGGTGTGGGCATTAGAAATCTATCAGGGAGACAGGATATCTGATTTCCATTCCTTAGATTTTTATGATATTTGGCAAGCTATATAATCTCTATGCCCCATTTTCCTCATTCCTAAAATTGAAAGGTTACTGGGGGGAAAGAAAATTAGTACATTAGTATAATCACATTGGAGGGTAATTTGGCAATGCTTATTAAAATTTAAAATGCATACACACTCTGGTCCAGCATTTCCCTTCTCTGTCTATCCTAAAGAAAGCCTGCACAAGGAAGTATGTACATTCTAGCATTATTTACAATAGGGAAATTTTTGAACAAACCAAACTTCCATCCGTCATCCGAAGGGAATGAGATGAAACAAAAGATGGACCATCCATAGGATGAAATACTCTACCTCAGATGAAAAGTGTGGAGTAGCTTGATGTCTAGTAGTACGCAAAAGTCTCTAGCATGTATCATTTAAGATAAAAAGCAAGTTACCTAAACTGTGGTGCTATTTATTGAACATACACTAAACAATATTGCATATTTTCTACAGATAACATATAGTTGTATGCGAATGCTCATGAAAAGTTTAGAAGGTTCCATAGCAAATAGGTAACACAATTAACCTGTGTGCTTGCTTGGGAGAACAAGATGTGTCAAAGGAGACACTGATTTCATTTGTATCGTTTTCAGTTTTTACACCAAGAAGGTATTAACAGATTACATTTGCAATTACAATTAATTTTTTATTATGTTAATCACCATACATTACATCATTAGCTTTTGATGTAGTGTTTTTTAAAAATCAGAGTCATAGTCTAGAAAATCTCTAAGTCCGCTCTCAGTTTTATGTTTATTGGAAAAGTATGGAGAGTTTATTATTTGGAAATCTTAACATATCTAATATCTTAACTCATATCTAAATGTAACTAATGTCCTTTAGTCTACTAATATCCCTTAACCTACTATTTTGTAAAATCATATCTGTTTTATAAGCAAATGATTGGGAATTACCTGTCATCTCAGAAGGAAGTACCATAAATGTGAAATGGCTTTGTAGGTTTGTAGCCAAATCCTTAGAGCTGTGGGCAAGATATTTAACAGTCTCCAAGTAAGCACCAACAATGAACCTGTCTTAGAGGGGTAAGTGGCTACAGTCCTGGGGCTCTTTTGAACTGAAAGAGCTCAAAGTATGCTGTCAGGGCCAATTCTATCACAGAATTCCAAGGCACAGAATAAAATGCTATTCTTTGTGCTTAATAAAAGGATCTGCTATATGGCATCATATCTTTCTAAAATGTTAACCAGCAACCCCAGTAGCCCATTCAATAATCTAGTCTCAAAACTTCTCTCAGAGCATACTTGGATGCCTTTATCTTTTCTCCCCAAGTATTAGAAAGAGGAAACAGTTATAGAAAACACAGAAGCACTATTTGGTAAAACTAAATAGAATTTACTAGAGGCAAAACTCAACATTTTTGCAGACTGCATTTAGCACTATCTCCAATTTATCCACAGCAATCACTGGCCTATTGGTCAAAATCTCTAAGTTGGTCCCCTATTCCTTACAAACGGATGGTGACTTTATTAAAGCATATTATTAGTACTGCTACTTGAATAAGATGGCTGAAAATGATTTCTGTATCTACCACAGGGTAATTAATGACTATGAAAGCTCACCAGAGGGCTTCTTAATGATGTGAGGCCTCTCCCTTTATTTCACATTCCAACGAGATTTTAAGTTGAAGTCGAGGACTTCACTCATTTCTCTACTGGAAGGAGTTAGTTCCTTGTCTACTTCAGTCTCATCCTGAGAAACTGGCATTCCTTCTCTTCCTGGGGCCACTCCTGGCCTTGGCATATGGATCCAATCCTGGCCTGCCCTCCTCAGGACTCTGTGTAATTAACCCTCCCCTCTTACCTCTTGTACCTCTGATTTCCGCCCCTTCACCCCCCCCCCTTTGCCCTGATTCCTTTTGCTCTACTTAGCAACCTGCTCAAGTTTCCCCAAACAGATGTAAAAGTCTTTCCATCAATGATAACACACGCTGAACCCAGGATCTTCCATTCTTCCCCAGGCCCTGATTTCTGCTTCCAGATGCCTTGAGTTCTTCCTCTCTTTTACTCAGTGGACTCCACCATCTCCAAGATATCAGTTTCTTCACACTTGTAGGCCCAGTGGCCTGGCTCAGTTCTCACCGGCTTAGGTCCATCTAGAACATGTGGCATCATGGGACATATATTCCCTGAAATGTTGCCTCATATCATTCTTCCTCTTTTTCCCAGTTCACAGACTCCTGTTTCCTCCTTTTCCTGGTTATGTGTAAATGGGAGTCTTGTACAGCTCCTGCAGGGTTTCTCACCCCGCCCATGGAAATGGGAATCTTTGTACCTCTTCTGTCTTGCTCTGCTGAGAGAACTCATCTTAGGTATATGCCACCATGCATGACGAAGGGATGGAAGGGAGGTTGTTCTTAATGTCACTTATATGAGTTGTATAACTCCAGGAATAGAATGAGGAGAACGTTCCCTGGATTGGAGCTGTGCAACCAGGGGGATCTGAACTCACCTGGAATGCACGCTTTCACAGCAGTCACTTCCGCCAACCGACTCCACATCAGTATCGTCACCCCTGATGGGTCTGATTCAAGGGTCAATTCCATATTCCCAAACGCCTGCTGGATATTGTCACCTGGGTCACCTGCCAGCTCCTGAGGTCAATACTGAACTCAAAGCTGTCTATCTTTCAACGGTCATCTTTAACTTGTATATTCTAAATTTTTTCTCGAGACATTACACAAGCTTTTTACAAGTTAACAGGATCAATTTTAAAAGTTGGTACTTCATTGGTTTTGTAAAGAGAAAGACCTTTTTTGCATAGGTGTGATTGTTGAATCTGGGATCTAATTGAGTTAGCTAATTAATTCCATGCTTGGTGCTTAGATTATGCTGTGGATTCTATTTGTGTCTACATTGGAGTTAATGAAAAAGCTAGATTATCCAATTAAGTAGTAATAGAGAAAGCAGTGAATAGAGATTCCTCTTTCAAATTCTGAATTAACAAAATATTTTACTCAGTCAATTTCTGATTTCTGTTTTTAAAAACCAAAACAAATCTCTTATAAAATAAAACATAATATGATTTTATTGTGATAAATTATGCAAGTTATGTATGGTCACTGTAGAAAAATCACAAATGTGAGACAAGTACAAAAAAGCAAATTAAAATCATTCATAATCCTACCAGGCAGAGAAAACCACTGTTATTTTGGTGCTTATCCATATAGCTTCTAGGCATTTTCCTTTTCTCAAAAAAATAAGATCTTTTTGTTCATTTTCCTTTGTAGTCCACATAGTTCTCTTGACAGCAGAACATGAACATTTTTGTGTATGATTTCATTTGGCAACATCATTTTCAATGCCTGCTTGAGGTTCCATTAAAACATATATCATAATTATTTAACTGATTTCCTATTGTTGAATAGTTAGTTTATTTTCCAATTTGTTATACTGTTGATCAGTATCAATGAAATTCTTTGTAATTTCTGCCCACTTGCATGATAATTTTTTTAGAATAATGCATTAAAAGTGAAACTGTTGGATCAAAGGACTTGAGAACTTTTATGCTTTTGATAAATATGCCTCAAGCTACCCAGAAAAATGGAACCAATTAAATTCTCCTCAAAATAGCTTACAGTGGTGCTTATCCTCACCACTACCAACCACTGGATCTCTTAGTTTGGGGAAAAAGGAAACTTTATGGGTGAAAATAATTATTTTCTTAATTTGTATTTCTTTGGTTAGTAGTGAAGTTGATAATTTTCTTATACTTTTCTGTGCTTGTATTTCTTTTGTTTCTTTGTTTTGTTTGTTTGTTTGTCTGTTTTCGTTAATGGTCCTTTCATATTCTTTGGCCATTTTTCTGTTTCTCTTACATTCTAGTAATGGAATAAGGATTTAAAGCTTCAAAATATCACCTAGTTTGCAAAAATTATTCCTAGTTTTCTTTGTTTTGTTTTGCCTTTACATTTTGTCTTTTAATTTGTGAATTACCTTTTGTGGAAGTCTTTTTTAATAATGCTGTCAGATTTATTTTTACTCTCCTTTTTTAGATTCTGCCTCTTTTAGAAAAATCTTCTCTTACCCAACTGATTTAGTACCTTTATTATGTGTTCCCTTTTTTAAAAAAAAAAATAGCAGTTAGATCTGTTTATGAACTTTCGGTTCTGTTTTACTGATGTGTCAGTTTCCATGTCAATAAAATGCTGTATTAATTATTTTTTACTATTTTTCAAATTTGATTGGCAAAATTCTCTCTTAGTGTTTCTCAAGTAGTTTCTCCAAGAAAATTCATGTTAATTTGAGTTATTTCCCAAATTTAAAAATAACGTTCTAATTTTGAATTTGCATTAATTTAATTTGGGAATAATGTATATCTTTAAAATATTATTATTCTATCTAGAAATATGGTATCTCTATTTATTTAAAACTATTTTTGATTCCCTTGAGATTTTTAAAAATACATGGATTGTATACACTCCACTAGGTTTTTAAAAATGTAGGTATTTTGTATTTGGGGTTGCTGTTTTGAATGTCATCCTTGCAAACTTGTAATTACCGAACATAAGGAAACTTCTTTCATAAATTTATTTTGGAAATACTCCACTTATTGAACCCTCCATTAGGATTAATTTTTTTAGTTGATCCTATGTTTTTAGAGTAGATGACCATGTCACATGTAAATTATAAAATGGCTTCTTTTTCCTGATATTTACAGTGCTCATTTAATTTTATTAAATAGTGTTCACCAATACAAATAACATTGAAAAAAATCGTGGCTCCTTCTCAATTTAATGGGAATGCCCACAGAGCGTTACTATTGTATATGATGATGTTGGTTGTCAGTTTGAGATAGTATGCTACTGTTCTTAATTCATAAGACCCTTTAAAAATTATTAGGAACAGATGCTGAATTTTATCTCATGTCTTTTGTCTCTTTATCAATATGATCATGCAGTTTTCCTCCTTTATGTGTTGAGATAGTGATTAAATGGATATGTTCTATAATATTACAATATTCTTACATTTCAGGATCAATCTCTACTTTATTACATTGTATTTTTATTATACTACTAGATTTTATCTATAGACACTTTCAATCTTATTTATCCAATAGAATAATTTTGTAGAGTGGTTTATAAATGGAATATATTACATGAATTAACAGGAAATAATGCATGTAATGTTTTCATTTTCTCAAAATTCCACATATATTTCTATATGGTTGAAACAAAGGCTACAAAATTATCTTAGGTAATACTTTTCAAGAAAGTCACATATAAAGCAGATATTCAGAAATGCCTAATAAATTAACCCTTAACTCAAAAAGGAGTTACATGAATTCAGCTGGGCAAAATGGCACTCCTTTGCTACCTTTTACGGAAAATGACTTTCCTAAATGACAAACTCAGAAATCCCTACTCATCACGCACATTCATTATGTGATTTTGAACACCAAAAGTATAGTCTAACAAAAAGGAAAAATGAATTCTAACCATAATATCAAAAACAAGAAGGGTTAAGCCAGTCAGCATTATGCTCTGGATGATACTTAACATCGTGGTAAATAGAAACAGACACTCACTCACGTTGTCTCTTGAGACACTGGTAATCAGCCAAGAGATCTATTTTTAGTAAAATACTGTTTTCAATCTAGTAATCTTCTACTCCAAAACAATTTATCAATTGTTGCCAGATCCACAAAGCTGAAGCAAAGGCAACTGAGGCCCCCCAGAAAATCTGGATTTTCAAACAAATAAAAAATTCATGTTCACTCGATCTTCCCATGACAACAAGTAAGTGTATGTCTTTGAACAGGGGTAGCATTTTGAAGTATCATATCCGGTTCTAGGAATGGTATTTAATAGGATGTGGAAATTTTACAGTTGACCTTTAAAGTGGTACTGCGGTGAAAAGGAAGAAGTTCAAAAGGGGTAAAGTGTTACATTCCATTAGTGACTGGAAATTTCAGGCAAGAATAAGCAAGGCGAACCCATGGCAGGGTTTCAAATACATGCATGTGGCTAAACCAGTAACAAACAATTTTGACAATCATACACTGCACATTTCTGGAACGCTCTTTCCTGCTGCTTTCTTGGTGCTATCAACCTTCCGGCTCCCTCTCATTTGCTCCTTAAATCTCAGCCCTGCGTAAAATAAACCACATTGGAAAGCTGTTTGGTAGTACCTATGAAAGCTGGCCATACCCACTGCCTGTAACCAGTGGTATGTCAAAGCTGGCTATGAGCTCTTTAGCTGATTGTACACATCTCTTCTCCACTCGGTCTTCAAGCTCATGACTGCTTTTAACTCAGCAATTCCACCATGAGGTACATGCCCAGCAGACATACTTTCATACGTGCAACATTGATATACACCAGAAAATCCATACCAACACCATCAATAATAGATACAAATTGGAAACCATCCCAATGCCCATTACAGTACAATGGATAAATACGTGTAGGAATAGTCACACAATGGAATATTACATAGCACCAAGAATGCAACTGCATGTGACAATATGGATAAGTCTTACAAACACTGTATGGAGAGAAAGAATCCAGAAACCAAAGAAAGCATGCTGCCTGTTTCCACTGATACAAAGTACAAAACAGCTAATCTATGCTGTTAAAAGTGAAGAGATCATCCTTGCAGGCCGGGAAGGGCCATAACACGTGGAAGAGAGCAGGGCGGGAGGTCAAGGCTAAGGTTGGGGGGAAAGTGAGGACCTCTGGGATGCTGAAATTGTCCTTTTTCTTAATCTGAGTATCAGAGTGATAGTTATATGGACATGCTCCAGCTGTGAAAATTCACTGAGGTATACACTCAGGAGCTATGTGCTTTTCTATTGCAATATAATAGAAAGTTAAAAAGTAAAGGAAAACGAAAGAAAAAATCTCAGCCAGGCATCAATTTCTGGAAGGGGTTTCCCCTATCACAGATACTTGTTCACCTAACCACATGGTGGTGAGACTTTAAATACAAGTGTAAACTGTATTAAAAAATGACCCATGTGGTGCCTGACATCAAGCACACCCTTACAAAAGAGTATTTATTTTCATCATCATTCTCCGACTCCCCCGTTATGTGTGTGTTACCATATCACTTTGTATATTCATTCCCCCACTGTACTGTAATCATGTTTTTGCTTCATTTCCATTTCCACTAGATGACCAGCAGCATGAAGCACAGGACAACATCTTAATTGTATCCACAGAGGCTAGAACAGAGTGGGTACTTGATAAATATTTGATGTGATTGAATAAAAGTCTGTCACAAAGCTCCATGACTCTCTGACTAGCAGTGTCCCAGGCGACTTGGTGGTCATTCTCTGAGTCCATCTAACAGACCATGTGCTTGAGTTACCAAAGAAGCTAAAAAAAACTGCCCAGGCAGAGAATGTGCTAAGGCTGAGGCAGGCATCTCCTGGAGTGGGAGAGAGAGTTCATATTTTGTGGCAAAGAAATGTATACACGTTTCCTTAAAATACTCCCATGTTCACTGTAGCATTCTTCACAAAAACCAAGGTATGTAAACAACTTAAATGTCCACTGAGAGATGAATGGATAAAGGAAATGTTACACACACACACACACACACACACACACACACACACAAACACACACACAGAAATATTATTTGGTCTTCAAAAAGAAAGAAATCCTGCCATCTGCAACAACACAGATGAAACTGGGGTGCATTATGCTAAGTGAAATCAGTTAGACACAGAAAGACAAATATTGGATGATCTCACTTATATGTAGAATCTTCAAAAAAAAAGCCAACTCATAGAGACAGGGGAGTAGAATGATGGTTACCAGAGGCCTGGAGGGTGGAAGAAAAGCAGAGATTAAAGGAAAGGAAGTAGAATGATGCGTGCCAGGGCCTGGGTGGAGGGGGTCTTGGTGAGTTATTATTAATGGGTACAGAATTTCCATTTTGCAAGATGAAAAGAATTCTAGAGATAGATGGTGGTGATGGTTGCACAACAGTATGAATGTACTTAATACCACTGAACTTACAGTAAAGAGAGTAAATTTTATGTTATGTGTATCTTACCATACACACACACACACACACACACACACACACACACACACACACAGAGAAATATATACACATTTCTATTTAGAGCAGACCATAGCATCATGGCAGCGTCAGAGAAATGCCAGCATAAGCTGCTAGAAGGTCATCAGACTACACATCAAAGGTGGGTGAGGTTCTAGGAAGGCCATGGCAAAAGTGTTGAACCAAGATGGAATGAGGACTGAACCATTTTACTGCCAGTCCAAAATAAGAGATGGCATGAAGGCATAATTCTTGAGAATTAGAGCCTGGCATAAAGACACACATGGAGAACCTCTGGGTAGAAATGATTCCCAGTGTGAAGGACAAATGTTAGGAGGTACAGATTTTCAGAATGTGGAGTGGGGGACTCATTTGTCTGAGAGGATGAAAGAGCGAAGAAGAAAAAAGTGAAGCAGAGAAGATGAAGAAAGAAGAGCGAAGCAGAAAAGCAGACTCCAAAGCTGCTGCAGACCTGCCATATAACTCCTGGGTCCTTTGTACTTCGCTGGTGAGTACCACAGAGCCAACCTGGGTCACCGTCCCATAACACAAAGCATAGGGCTTTCTGACCATGAGCTTCACTATCCTGTAACTCAGCATTTGATGGCTATAATTAATGGACCCTCAAAACTGTGTGTTTTTCTAGGACACTAATAAAGACTGGAGCAGAACCTAACAAGAGCACCCACATGTAGAGACACTGGGGAGGCTGGAATGCAGAATCATTTAGGTTTCCTACAAATTCTAAAATCCTTTGCTGACAGCTAGTTGAAACCATGATAGATTTGGAAAACTCTGGCTCTTGGTGAAAATAATCAAACTGAGCATCACAGGGACAATGTCATCTCGGATTCACTCCCAGACAGTCTTCATCTTGGGAGTCTGATGACTTTGTCAGTCCATCTGCTATGGATCAGCCAACCAAGTTAACTGGCCACAGTAGATGCAGTGATTGTCCTTTCTGCTGGGCCCTCCCTCCTGGTCAGTGGATTCACGCAGCAAGTGAAATCTGATATAAGAACATGTTGCTTAGTGTGCAAAGAAACAGAATGTAAGAAAGGAAAAAAGAACAAAAGAAGGAAGCAAGGAACGGAAACATCTGATGATGACAGATTTTCCAGACAAACATTCATTCACCATTTGTGCCAACACAGTGCCATTTGTGTACACAACCTGTTTGTAGTGCTATGGATTCAGTGTTTTTTATAGACCTTAAGAGGCTCCTCTTGTAGAGTGTGAAGATCTAAAGTAGTGGTTCTCAACCACTGGGGATTTTGCTCCCCATTCAACACAGTCTGAGACATATTTGATGGTCCCAACTGGGTGTGTGACTGGCATCCAGTGAGGAGGGGTCAGGAATGCTGCCTAATATCCTACAATGCACAGAACAGCTCCCTACTTCCCCAACAAAGAGTTACCTGGCCCCAAATGTTAAGAGTGCTGAAGTTCAGAAATGATCTAAAGGGAGAGAATAAATCAACAATGACAAAGAGTGCAGTGCATGCACATATAGGCTTCTATCTAAGTAATGAAAGAGGACAATCCAAATTGTGTGTGTGTGTGTGTGTGTGTGTGTGTGTGTGGTGTATGAATGGTTTTACAAAAAGCTTTTTGGAGCAGCTGACCCATAAGATGAATTTTGACACAGATATGAGTTGAAGAATATGGGGAGGTAGGTAGGGAGAAGGGAAGGGAACAAACTGTGTTCAAGACAAAGGAACAGCAGGTGTGGAGGAACGTAGGAAATAATTACATGATCATTCATTAGAGAGAAGGGTTAACCTGGGTCACTATGGGATTTGAAGTTTGAGAGGCAGGGAGGGGCTAGATGATGCTGAACAATGGATGCTAACTCAGAGTCTAGATCAGCATTGTCCAATCAAACTTTTTTCAGTGAAAAAAATGTTCTATATCCTCACTTACCAATGTGGTAGCCACTAGCCTCATGTGACTATTGAGTACTTGACATGCGGCTAGTGAGACTGAGGAAATAATTTTTCTATTTTATTTGATTTTAATTAATTTAAATTTAAATAGCAACGTGTAGTCAATGGTTACCATTTTGGAGAGAGTAAATCTAGACATCTATGGAGAGACGAGAGAGGAGGCTGGTCAGATTTAGACTTTAGGTGGCCCTGGAAACATCCTGGATATGGCTTCTAAGTGTTTTTTTAAATGGTAGTTTTTTGTTAGTTTGTTTTTAAGATTTATTTAGTTGTTTTAGGAGGGAAAGAGGGAATGGGAGACAGAGAGTCTCAAGCAAACTCCCAACCGAGTACAGAGTGCCATATGAGATTCGATTCCACGACCCTGAGATCATGACCTGAACCGAAATCAAGAGTCCCATGCTTAACCGACTGAGCCACCCAGGAGCTCCATCTAAGTTTAAAGGACATATGATTCATCTGGGAATCTTACTAAACTTACTAAAATGCAGGTTCTGTTTCAGAAGGTTTGAGCCTCAGATTCAACATTTCTTACGAGCTCCCATGTGAGAACAGTACTGCTGGTCCATGGACCACTCTTTCAGTAGCAAGGATCTATAGCAACGTAGTCAAATAGAACTTGCCATGATGCTGGAAATGTTCCATATCTGCACTGTCCATGCAGTGACCACTAGCCACAAGTGGCAACTGACCATCTGAAATGTGGCTAATGCAACTGAGGAAGTGGTCTTTTTAAAAGATTTTATTTATTTATTTGGGGAAAAGAGAGAGAGAGAGAGAGAGAGCGCTCAGGGGGCAGGGGCAGAGGGCGAAGCAGGTTCCCCACTGAGCAGGGAGCCCTAAGCGGGACTACATCCCAGAACCCTGGGATCATGACCTGAACCAAAGTCAGATGCTTAACCAACTGAGCCACCCAGGCACCATGAGGAAGTAATTTTTTTAATTACTTTAATTTCAATTAATTTTAATTTTAATTTAAAAAGCTACATGGGCTAGTGGTTATACACTGCATTATGCGGATCTAGAGCACTGCGACCCAAAGTATGTCAAGTTGTTTTACTTAGTCCACAAGGAAGTCAATACAGAAGTGAGAGTAAAAATATAGAAATTTTATAACAAGTTGAAAAGGCGATTAAGTCTATTTAACCTCATAATTTTAAAAAATGGATTCCTATTTTGCATGTCTTTTTTTCTCATTTAATTTTTCTAATAATTCATTTGTATTACATTTTATAAAAATATTGACCTACGATGAATTGAGGGGAAAATGGGTCTTCTCCACTGAGAATTTGTGAAGCACTGCCTGGAGGACGAATGGGAAGGTAGGGATGCAAGCAGAAGGCAATGAGATGTGCTAGGAGACCATGCCAGCAGTGCAGGCGGACTGTGGAGGCAGGGAGGAAGTAACGGACGAAATCCACAAGATCTGGTGGCAGAGTGGATGTGCGTGTGCTCACGTCAGTAATTCACGCTGGTCATTAAACCCGACATCTGGTTGCTGGAACAGAAATACAGGCCAATTGTCATTCACCTTTGCTCTTATTTTTCATATTTCTAAGTCTCTGACAGTTTATCTTTAGAATGACACTTCACTCATAAGAGATGGAGAAGACTTAGTTAGATTTATTCAACTTATTAAAATAACTTAATTAGAATTATCACTTTTATATAGCACTGTCAGAGATCATCAGACATATTTTTAAATAAGATTTGGAGCAACACTAGCCTCATCCTTCTATTGCTAAGTCATCTTTTTGAATGAGTTGTTCCAGGAAGGTTGCTAATTTCATATATTTAATTTTAATTTTTGTGGGTGTTAAAAGTCAGTGCCCATTTCTGACTCTCCTTCCAAAATCTTTGGTGCACACTTCATTTGAGTCCTACATTTTCATGTTTATCTTACAGCTTCCGGTTTTCTTTCTTGACTTCCAAACCCTGCATAATGATGTGATGTTCTTAAAGTGTGGCTATATCAACCTTAAACTAAAAAGCAATTTGAAATTGTGTGTGTTGGGGCAGAGGGAAGGCAGAATTGGGAATGTGCTGTCAGATAACTAAAATGTTCTCACTAAGAATAGGAGCTAAGGTAGGCAGCCAAAAGTGTGCCATTCTATGAGTTTAATTTATTTATTATTTTCTTTTTCTTAATTTTAAAATTATCTGGAGGCTTTCCCAAAAGGGATCTTGGATTGCCTAGACCTGCATTGCACAATATGGCAGCCACTAGTCCTGAAATGTGGCTGGTCCAAATTGAGAGGTATTGTTAAGTGTTAAACACACACACCAGAATTCAAAGAATCTATGCCAAAAAAAGAAAAAAGTAAGATATCTCAAAAAATTTTATACTGATTATATGTTGAAATGATACTATTTTGGATGTATGGAGTTAAATAAAAATATTTTTAATTAATTTTCCTTATTTCTTTTTATTTTTCCAGAATATAGCAACAGGAACACTCAACCTTACCTATGTAATTTAAAGGAAGGCACTGAATCAATCCTGGAAGATTGAAAAGCATATTTTTGCAACAAGCCACAGAGAAAGAAGTAGGAGGTTATGATGTAAAGATAGAGACAAAAGAACTCAGAGTCCTGGTAACTCCTCCAGACAAAACCCAGACAATATGGGAAAAGCACTCAACGATGGCTCAAGGATTTCAAAACCACTGCAACTGGTCCCCTACTTCTCTGCACGGGTGTGGTGTAAGCTCAGCCATCACAGCAACGGCATGCTCAGTCTGACCCAGGAACAATACAGTGACAAAGCTGAGGGAGATGCTAGGCCTAAGGGTGGCCTCATGACATCTGGCAAACTATACAGAGTGAAAAGAAAGCAACCAGGAGAAAGCTACAGGATGAGCAGACAGAAGAAGGTCTGAGTGAAAGGTGAGCTTGTAATCAGAGGCAACAGTGGTCATCAACAGGGGAGTGCCAGGAGAACCTCCAAAAGACACACAATTCTCAGCGACTGCAGAAGATGCGGCTTGACATCACACAGTATCAGAGTCCACAATCAACCAGTGACCATTGCACGGACAAGATGCTTTCCTGTGCACCCAGGTCCCATCCTGTGATGGAAAGGCCAAAGAGCAAAACTCTCGCCCAGGTCAGATAAGGAAGCAGAAGCTCATGAAGACCAATAGTCACGTGAAGCTTTAATCTGGAAAAGACTGAGAGATATTTTTTTTAAGATTATTTATTTCAGAGAGAGAGAGAGATAGAGCATGCGTCGGGGGAAGGACAGAGGGAGAGAATTCCGAGCAGACTCCCCACTGAGCATGGAGCCCAATGTGGGGCTCGATCTCAAGACCCATGAGATCATGACCTGATCAACTGAGCCACCCAGGCACCCCAAAGACTGAGAGATATTTAAATGGAAACATGGAATGCCAAGGTGGCTCAGCTGGTTGAGTGTCCAACTCGTGATTTCGGCTCAGGACATGATCTCATGGGTCGTGAGATGGAGCCACATATTGGACTCCATGCTCAGCAGGGAGTCTGCTTGGGATTCTCTCTTTTCCTCTCCCTCTGCCCCTCCCCCTGCTCTCCCTCTCTCTCTTAAATAATAAATAAATCTTTTTAAAAATGGAAACATTAAACATTCTCTGTGGTCAGAATATTAGCAGCTTGAAAATACATAAAATAGAAAAGAAACATCATTTGAACAAACACCTGATTTGTGTCACCTTTATTGTTATATTTGTAGTCACTTTCCAGCCCCACTGGCAGAAGTGAGAATTTAAGGGTGAGAACACTTTGGCTTTCTCTATACAGCTTCTTTCCAGGAACATTCTCAGGTCTTAGTGATGAACTTCTTCACACAAGCTGAGCTAAGATGGCCCATTGTGCTTGTCATTTTGCAGGTCGATCAAAGAGGTAAAACAGCAAAAAAGACAGATTAAGCTAGAAGTTCACCTACAAGGCACCAAAGGGATTGGAAGAATGCCAAGACACAAGATGTCAGGAAATTAAAAGACTATCCCAATTTTTAGGATTCTAAGGTACTGTAAATGCCACCGACAGATCTAATTTGAAAATATGCAGAATTTTTCTTTCTTCCTAGGTGTCATAAAGAATGGCACTCCCACTCAAATATCCAAAAAATGTAAATAGCACATGGTTCCCAACCTTACAACTGGTCATTTAAAAGAAGGTTGTGCATACTTTATTCAGACTTTCTTGTGAACAATCCAACTGGAAAAAGAAATCACTTCTGAGACAATAGGGAAATGTTGATTCCTGACAGGATATTGATAATACATATTTACTTTAATATTTAGTTGTGACAGGGGCACCTGGGTGGCTCAGATGGGTGAGCATCCAACTCTTGATTTCAGTTGAAGTCATGAACTCAGGGTCATGGGATCGAGCCCTGCGTTAGGCTTCTCTGTGGCTTGTTGCTTGAGATTTTCTCTCCCTCTCCCTCTGCGTCTCCCCCCATTCACACACGCTCGCTCTCTCTCTCTAAAATAATTAAATAAATCTTTAAAAAAATATTTAGTTGTGACAAAAAGAATCCTTTTCTTGTCAAGATACATACCGAAATATTTATTCGTGAAATGACATAATGTTTGGGGGGAAAATCATCCACTGCTTCAGAGGCAGCAGGGAATTAGGTGAGTATGTTAATGAAAGTATTTATGAATTAGGATGGCTCTACATCATTACATCATTTTACATCATTTACATCATTACAGGTGGCAGACATGTTCTATACCTTTGTTGTACTTTCTCTTCCTTTGTGTGGGTTTGAAATTTTCCACAATAAATAAATTTTTTAAAATGAATCTCACAGACGTGATGCTGAGCTGAAAAAACCAACATAAGGGAGTGCACACTACATAATTCCATGATTATAAAGTTAAAAAAATATAGGCAAAACTAATCTAATGTATGAGAAGTCAGTAGTGTGGTTACCTTTGGTGAAGACAGATAATGAATAGAAGGAACACGTGCATGTTTTGGATGGTGCTTGGTGTGTCCTATTTCTTGATCTGGACAATTGTTACAAGGGTTTGTTCAGTTTGTGAAAATTATTTTGAATTACATACTTATTATCTGTATATTCTTCTATAAGAACAACTCCATTAAAAAACGATTTTTTAAGTTTGTTTTTTTTATATTTAGGTTTGTTTTTTTTAATTTTATTATGTTATGTTAATCACCATACATTACATCATTAGTTTTTGATGTAGTGTTCCATGAGTCATTGTTTGCATATATTAAGTTTTTTTAAAGCTGATATATTGAGTGATATTCTATGAAATTCACTAACTTATACATTTATGGCTTATGCCTTGTATGTGTGCTTTATATTTAACAATAAAATGATCTTTTTTTTTATGTTTTATTTATTTATTCATGAGAGTCAGAGAGAGAAAGAGAGACAGAGGCAGAGGGAGAGGGAGAAGCAGGTTCCCTGCAGAGCAGGGAGCCTGATGTGGGACTCGATCCCAGGAGTCTGGGATCATGACCTGAGCCGAAGGCAGACGCTTAACCATCTGAGCCACCCAGGCGCCCTAACAATAAAATGATCTTAAAATGGATCTCAATTGTCTCAACCCAGCAACAACACTATGAAAATAATGTAGCTTAGAAATTATTAGTCATAAACAAAACGCTTTCATTTTCTGGTCTTGTCTATTCTTAATAATAATAGCATTTACTGAAGACATACTAGGTGCTGGTTGAATCTCTAATCTAACCCACCCTAAAAGATAGATATCATTTCTAATTTATGGAAAAGAAATTTGTGGTTCAAGGAGTTAAGTGACTTTCCCAAAGCCACAGACCTAATCAGCCAGAATTCAAATCCACACCTACCCAGCTCAAAAGCCTATGTGCTATTTCCATTTCACCATGATGATTTCCAAACAAGCATCCAACACATGTGCAAACTAAGTTACATGTTTATTTTACATGAAGCAGGCTGTTTGTTTAAATTCTGATTTCTGTTGTTAACCAAAATAACTCAAAAGGAAAATAATTTGAAATTGTAAATAACGGTTTACTTTAAAAAGATTCCATTAATCTCACACATGCCAAATCTTACTAATTCACCTACTGATTCTATTCCTCTTGTGCTTTCTAAAGTTTGTTTTTTTCCTCTCTCCAAGCAAGTACGTTAGGGATGATGCTAATTCTTCTACCTAAACTTCAGGCATATTTCAACCTGAAGAACGGGAGCTCTTTGAATCAGGCTGGGAAAAGTCATTTTCAAAACTATTACCATAATAATTTCTTAAAAAGAGGTTTAATCTACACATGGGTCTGAATTGAGTCACTGTTAAGAATGTATGATCTTTCTAGATTGTACAAGTATTTGGCTGAATGTTTATATACCCAGAACATAATCCTTTCCCATGGAATTTAACCAAGATTTTATGCCCTGGGAAATAAAGAGACCTGGACTTAATTCAACAAAAGCAAATCCGCACAGTAAAACAAGTTTAATGTTCAACTGCTGAATTTCAAACTTTGATACACATTACAATCAACAGTAAGCAGTCATTCTTCGATTTTCTTAAGAAAAAGAAAAGAAAAAAAGAAAGAGAGAGAGAGTAAAAGGTCAGTGTTGGGACTCTACCAAGACTTCAGGCTTGACTGTTCAATTTGGGTTCCTCCAAATGGCTAGGTTCCAGGGTATTTGCCAATGTGATGGTAAGAATGAATCTTTAAGTCTTGCTTAGGACCTAGAGGTCTTACAGCCTGTTTTAAATAGAGCTTTGAGACAATATAAATGTTCAAAGAAGGCCTGGGCTTGGGCAATTTATTTGAAGAACAAATGCCCTAAAAGGGCAGGACTCCTTAGAACTGTACTATGGCTTCTATGATAGAAATGGAACCAAGTCCTTGTATGGGTCATAAACAAGGAAGCCTAATGATGATGGAACAGAAGAGAATTCCATTTAAAAGAGACACTGCTCAGAACTACAATAAGTTTGGAATATTTACCTATCAGTGGAAGCTTGATCATTGTAATGGTATAAAATTGCTTGATTTGGAATAGTTAATAAATACTGAGGTATGTACATCACTCATGAGTAAAATGGTGATTTAACTAATCAAACAGAATAGCCATAGTAGATTTACATAAAAGCCTGGCCATACATACTTGCTGGATAGTTGGACAGTATTTCTTTAAACAAACAAATAATAACCCGCAGGTAGAGAATATAAAGAAAGGATTGGATTTCTTCATATTTATCTGTATCTGATTACAACACTGAAGATGCATGCTGAAATAAATTTTTAAAAATAATATAAATTTGGGCAACATTTAAAAAACTTAACACACATATAATTGGAGTCCCTAGGAGAGAAGAAAGTGGGGCAGAAGACATTTAAAGGTTAATGGTCAAATTTTTGCCAAATTTGGTGAAAGATATTAATTTACAGATTGAAGACGCTCAGCAGAACTCAAATAGAATAAATACAAAGAAAAACAAAGAAAATCTGGGCTCATCTTGTATAAATGTTAAAAACCAGAGATAAAGAAAAATCTTGAAAGCTGCTAGGATACAAGATATTCCCTCCAGATGAACAGTGATTTGAATGACCACTGTGGGGACAAGAAGTAAACATCTTTAAAGTGTTACAAGGAAACAAATATGTCACCCTAGAATTCTATATCCAGAAAAAAATATCATTCAACAATGAAGGTAAAATAGAGTCATTTTCAAAGCCTAAAGCTGAGAGGTTTTGTCTCCAGCAGTCCTATTCTACAGCAATCCTTAAGGAAAATCTTCAGGCTGAAGGGAAATTACACAAGACAGAAGTTCAAAACTTCAGGAATGAATACCGAGCCCTGGAAGTGGTAATATGGGGGTAATTTTTTAAAAGTTTTCTTCTTAATTTCTTAAAAATGTATACTATTGTTGAAAGAAAAATAACGACACTGCCTTGTAGAGTTCATAATGTATGTAAATATATTAACATATAACTCCTATGGAGCCAAGAATGAGGTAAATGGGCCTATGTGGTTGCATGCTTTCTGTATGATCTGGTACAGCAGTAATGCTCATTTGAAAATTTTCATAATAAGCTCTTGGAAAAATAACAGAAAGCTAAAAGCCTAAATTTCCAGATATTTGGTCTTTCTGCTTCAATTCAGTCTAACAAAATATGCAAGCAGACATTCAGAAAGTATAATTAAATACACAAGCTTAGGCAATATGGATTTTTTCAGGTCTCTTTAAATATCGAAACTCTTGGGGCACCTGGGTGGCTCAGTCGGTTATATGTCTGCCTTAGGCTTGGGTCCTGAGATCGAGACACACATGGGGCTCCCTGCTCAGCGGGGAGTCTGATTCTCCCTCTCCCATTGCCCCTCCCCTCCCCCACTCGTGCTCTCTCTCTTTCCCTCAAAATAATAAAATATTTTAAAATAATAATAATAAATAAATAAATAAATAAATAAATAAATAAATAAATATTGAAACTGTAAATTTTAACGTTGACCTCGAAGTTCTCTAAAAGTTTCTCATAATACTTATTTTGTTAACACAACTGGGTAGCTATTTGAGATTTTAGACCAAAGGAAGGACCGTTCATTGATTAGGGACAGGAGAGCCCAGCCTGAGCTCACAGAAGACAGCAACCCTGTGTGAGGATGGTATGGATTGCTCATCCTTCAGTCAAATGCACCGGCAAAGAGCCATCTAGAACCTTCTCATGATAACTAACATTTAACTTGCCTTTTTATTGAAACACAAACTGAGTCTATAAAGCAATTGTGAGGCTCAAGAACTTTTTTAAACTCTTCATAACTTTCCATTTCTGGGTTCTTATTAAATAGTGGCAAAGTGCTGTAGTTATTTAAAAAAAATAGGAAAAGATGTCTACAACTAGAATGGAAGCCAGCCAAAAGGAGTTAACCGACCAGTTCTGGTAATTGTCATCATGACAAGGGTGAATTCAGATGCTTTCAGGAAGATGTGGTCAAGAATCCTGAATCATTTATAGGTGGAAAAGAAAACTATTTGGAATTGGACCATGGTTGCCTCAAGTTACCTAGTCTATACAGTCTATAGCCATAACCAGTAACCTTTAGAAGGTATTATTCCAAGTTAAATGTACACATATATGCCACGTTACATACATTACCTCGTGTAATTTTCAAATAAATAAGGAGGATACAGCTATTATCACCTGGTCTTTACAGCTGGGAGGTGGGGTGTGCTCAAGTTCCCAGTGTTGTCAATAGTGGAACGAGGATACCATCTATGTCTGTCTCAAAAGCCCATGCTTTTAAACCTTATGCTACTTGCCTCTCTTTCCATAAAGAAGGTATGGCCAGTAGTAATGATGCCAGGACACCCAGGCAAATTTCCAGAAGCATTATTTCATTTCCAATCTCATCTCTTTCTTCACAAGAGGAAAACACAATTACCTTTTGTAAGAGTTTATTAGGGCTGTTTATAACAAAGTACCATATACTGGGTAGCTTTAAGCAGCAGAAGTTTATTCTCTCACAGTTCTGGAAGCTACTGATGCAAAACCAAGGTGTAAAGGCACTAAAGAAGAATCATTCCTAGCTTCCTCCTAGCTTCTGGTGGCCCCTGGCAGTCCTCGGCATTCCTTGACTTGTGACTATATAAAGCCAATCTCTGCTTCCATCTTTACCTGGGCTTCTTCTCCGTGTGTCCTCTCCTCTTTATATAAGGACACCAGTCTTTAGATTTTGGGCCCATCCTAATCCAGTATGACCTCATCTTAGTGAATTACATTGCAAAAAAACATATTTCTAAATAAGGTTACATTCTGAGCTTCTAGGTAGGTGTGGATTTTTGGACACTATTCAGCCCACCACATCTTTCATGGATCATTATTCCTCTATGAATAAACCCAAATCTGACTCCATACTCTTTGTGGGAATTATTAAAGCTTGCACTTGATTAGGGCTTTGTGGTTCTGACTTCTCTCTTTTGATTATTTTTTTTTTTTTTTTTGAGAGCAAGAACACAAGTTGGGGGGGTGGCGTAGGGGGACGGACAGAGGGAGAGGGAGAGAGAGAATCTTAAACAGGTTTCATGCCCAGTGCAGAGCCCAACGCGGGGCTCACTCTATCTCAGGACCCTGAGATCATGACCTGAGTCAAAATCAAGAGTCGGATGCTTAACCTACCAAGCCACCCAGGAGCCCCTATCTTTTGATGTTAAGAACAGCTTTATACAAGGACACCTGGCTGGCTCAGTCTGTAGAGCATGCAACTCTTGATCTTGGGATTGTGAGTTCAAGTTCCACGCTGGGTACTTAAGAGATTACTTAAAAAAAAAAAAAAGAAAATCTTTAAAAAAAGAACAACTTTATATATAATCCGGGCAAGCATTATTAACCTCAGTTTCTGGATGATGACACCAAGATTTTAAGTCACTTATCCAAGTTCAAAACTCAGTTCAATGACAGATGTGGAAGTGAAAACTAGAATGGATCACTTCAACTCAGTTTACTTTCCCAAATCCACCAGCCCCCCCCACAAAAGTTCACCCATTCATCAAAGACGCATTGCATTCTTGTTCTATGCCAAGCACTATTTTAGTTATCAGGGGCACAACGATATTCAAAATTGATTCCATGTCTGCCAATAGTTTGCAAACTAGAAGAAAAAAATCACTTGTGAAACTCTCAGATGGTTTAAACTGGCTGTATATACTTACTAGTAATAACAATTCATCAAACTTGTAAAAGAGTAAGTTTTTAGTATATAACTTAATTCAAAGTCTCATCTATCCCACCAATAATGTCACTCTTGTGTGCAGATGGAAGGGATCAAGAAATAAACACTCTTATGTTAGCAAACGAGCTTAACTCCAGAAGAGTGTGAGTATTTAAATGGGCTTGGACCTAAATTAGAAGCTAGACTATGTGCAGTGACAACGTTCCATCAGAAAGACATGAGCTTCTACCTTGTTTATAAAGGTTGAAAGAAAATTGTCAATACCTAAAAAAGAGCTTGGCGAGCTAAAACTACATTCAATCCCTCATGTGACAGTTTGTGTCTACTTTCCTCATGGACGGCAGCCACTGTCGAACCCCCAACAACCACCCCGCTCCACACCTCTGACTGACACTTGTCCCAGGGCATTTGTTTGTACCTGTGGTTCCCACCCATATCAGTCCCAATTCTGCCACTGTCAAACAAATATTTGTAATAAAATAAAATCCTCCCATCACATAACTTACCCATCCTGTGATATAATGTCTTTAAAAAACAACATACTGCCCTAATTGTAATACAAAGAAATAAAAGCAAAGTGAGTTACTCTAAAAGTACATGCATTTCAATATATCAGTGCTTGGCCACAGCTTCACTGGAAGATATGGGAAGTCTCTGGATTCTTGTACAAATAAGGAAGAACCACAGTGAGTGCCACACACTGACGGAGGTACTTTGCATCGGGACTCGTATGCTGGGATTGGTGTGCATTAGTGGCATGCTGAAACGGTGAATAATTCTTGGTAACGTTCTGAACAAAACAAAGTACAATCATCCCTCAATTTACAAGGCAGTTGCAGTCCTGGAAAATTCAGTGTATACTAAAACTCTGAAATATCTACCTCCTGCAAGTACATATACAATGGGGTTGTATAAGTAGCTTCAGAACATTATAAACTGGGTGTTATTTTCCCCTACACAAATGTCTGCTAGGAGATTTGAAACTTGTGCAGGATGTGCTAGCCCATTCCCACCATATTCCCCAACCAATTCCCCACAAACTTCTAAAACAGATTCCATGGAATGGTATTATCCCCTTGAGACACTCTGGTTCATGCTCCGTGTTGTCTATTATATTCTGGATTTTCTCTAACAGTCTACTTTTATTTATCAATACTTTACCATGTGCCCAGACATTTCATAAATATTAACTTATTTTTTTAAAGATTTTATTTATTTATTTTCGAGAGGGAGAGAGAGAGAGAGAGAGAGAGAGAGAGAGAGAGAGCATGAGCATGGGGGAGGGGCAAAGGGAGAGGGAAAAGCAGATTTCCTGCTGAGCAGGGAGCCCCACACAGGGCTTGAACCCTGGACTCCGGGATCATGACCCAAGCCACAGGCAGATGCCTTACTGACTGAGCTACCCAGGTGCCCCTAAATATTAACTTATTTAATGTTCAAAACAACTCCATGAAGTAAGTATTATTATTTTACTCCCAGTTTATATAAGAGCAAACAGAGATTTTAAAAACTTGCCCCCTATCACAGAGCTAGTAAGAATTCACTGGGATCCAAACACAGGTAGTATGGCTCTAGAATCAGCACTCTACCCTATACCGAAGCTTCTCACTTTTAATGTACATAGAGATGCTCCCCTCTCACATTCTCCTAAGGGAGGCAGATGCTACTCATCTATGCATTAGACGTGGAATAGCAAGGTAACACACTAGATTCCCCACTGATGAAAACAAGGATGACCCCTGTGCTACAAGAGCCTAGGGCTTATAATGCAGAGCAACCTAAATATTGTTAAATGGATGGATGAAGACATGCGAATTAAAAATTCACTTCAATAATTAGCCCAACCCTTTCCAATTCTCTTCCAGACTTTCAGCTCTATGCATCATGCTACCAGCAGATGACTTCATTTCTTATTTTGGTAAGAAGTTTAAGGTCATTGATAACAAATTCCCACAAATTCCTTCCTATCTCCTTCAGGCTATTACACAGGTCCACCCATCTCTCCACCTGGAAGTTTCTCTGAACCATCCTTCTATCTGCTCTCCTTCAATCCTCGGGGAGAGATGGGGTGCTTTATCTCCTGCCATTTTTCTCTCTTCTTGACTCAGTCCTTTGTCTCCTCTGAGCTTTCTTTCTTGTCAACTAATCGATCAGCTTATCTTCTCTTCAACTCTACCCTCTTCTAACACTCTGCCCCTGTCTCTTCATCCCCACCTGTTTTGGAGGCCCTATCCTAACACTAACCCTAGACCCCTCAGAGCTGCTAGGAATTCCATAACATACTTTGGCTTCTGTGTCAAGGCTCCAGCTGCCTTAAAATGAAGATGTGGATAAGGGATATGTTCTGGGAATGACTGGGAATAATGTCACCTTTGGTCAAGTGGATTAAAATAAAGCTTTGGAACATAGCATTGTGTATCAACTATACCTCAGTGGGAAAAAAAAATGTATCTCACAGCTACATCACATAGCCTCATACTATAGGCCTACAATGAATGTTTGTTGCATGAATAAATACATGAATATTAGTACAACAAAAATGAAATAATAAAATAAAATTAATATAATATAATATAATCAATCAGGATTTGGGAGAGGTAGATCAAGGCTTCACTGTAGCCACTCACCTTCAAGTAGACTGAAAGTATATGGAGAACGGGAATAAGTCAAAGCACCTCAGCAGTGAGTCATACACAGAGGGCACCTTTGGGAGAGTGACTCTGAGGAGGCAGGAGAACAGTGGCCTATGGTACTAATTGTGTCATGTCAAGGGAACTGGTTGACATTATCATTTTGGTTTGTACAGACTTCTGAATGTTCCATCAGTAAACTTAGAGCCCTAAGCAACTTTGGTTTCTATACAGCCATAGTAGATGGCCAGTATTTTTGTGTTCACACACCGTGAGGGAAACAGTCTGAATTTCTCTTACGCTATATCATTTTGTGCATGGTTCTGTTATTTATGTTTAAATATAAGCATTTGTGAGACCCTTTCTCTGACCTCTTTGAGGGCAAGGATCTTCTACTTCCCAGGAAGCCGCCTTGAGCTGGGTGGACACCAGGAATCTTGATCAGATGTTTCCACTTAAATATACCTACTTTCTATCTTTACTCACAATTGCATTTTTAAGCTCGAATTTATTTCTGCATTCTGTCTCTGTTTCACAAGATCCTCTCAAACTGTGGAGGCCAAAGCAGAACACAACAAACTCTGCTTTGGCTCCTTGGAAGAGAACTTTACAACTCCAGCCACCGTCCCTGATTCCTATTTGTCTCAAGTTTCAGGAATGAATCTTGCAGACTGGTGATCAATCTGAGATCCACAAAGCTTTTCAAGCTGTATTTGTGCTCTGTATTCTTTTTCTAACTTCAAATTCTATATTGCTCAATGGCTTTGCTAAATTCATTCTGTGACTACAAGTACATGCACAAAGTATGGTGGGGGCTCTTAATCCCATTATAAAGACTTCCTAAGTGAAAAACATACAGTTTACATAAAACTCTGCCAAGAACTCCCAAATATGGCAGTTCTCCAACGGTGAGAGCCTTCCAGTTTTTCTGAACTTATGTCCCCATGTCCTATCA